CCGCAGTGCCTTAAGGTAAGCACCCACCGCCCAGTAGCCTAGATAAAGGGGCTGCTTGGGTCTTGTGCCAAGGGAGCGCCCATCTTAGGGGCAGCTCCCGCACATGCAGCCTCGCGGGTCGAGAGGTGGAGAGCGGTCGCAAAGGCAGGCCTTCTACATCCACCAGGACTACGCGATCGCCGAGGCCAATCGACGTTTCGGTTTCGGCCTTCAGCGGGAGGATTTTAGAGCTCTCGACGCGACGGGCAATACCAGATACGTAGCTGGCATCACTCAGGTGTTCAGCAGCTACGGTTCCAACTGGACACTCTTGTGCCGCGAAGTCCCTGCGTTATCCGCCGTCGTCCCTACTGCAAAGGGCGGCGGCAAGGGCAAGGGCGCAGGGAAGGGGCAGCCAGCGGCGCTTGTCGGAGGAAAGGGCAAAGGGGCAGCTCCGAAAGCGCCCGCGGCAGAGCCCGCAAAAGCCCCGGCGAAGGCCGCAGAGCCAGCCAAGGCGCCGGCGAAGGCCGCAGAGCCAGCCAAGGCTCCAGCGAAAGCCGCAGAGCCGGCAAAGGCCCCGGCCACAGCACCGGAGCCAGCCAAGGCGAAGGCTGAAGCGAGTGTCGGGACACTCCTGGGACCCCGGCCAAGGCAACATCTGGATCTTTGGGCCCGCCGTTGGCGGCGCCCGTGGCTGAAGGGGCTGCGCCACCGGCGGCGCCAGCTGTATTGCCAACAACTTCTGGAGGAGACGAGCCGACTACAGGCGAAGCTGTGGCACCAGAGCAGCCTTCTGAGGTTGCTTCTGGTGCCCAGCTCACCGCTGCGGATCTGCTACCCAAGGAGCCGGAGCTTGGAGAGGTCAAAGAGGAGCCCGCAGAAGAGGCTGCAGAGGAGGCCGTTGAAGAAGAAGCGGCCGAAGCAGAAGAGGCCGTTGCAGAAGAGGCGGCCGAAGAAGAAGAGGTAGAAGCTGCAGGGGAAGCCCCACCAGAGGAGGCAATCAAGGAAGAGGTTACTGTACATAGTCCTGCGTCGCCTGAGCTTTCGGAGAGGGCCGTTTCGGAGCCCCCAGAGCGCCCAGCGCCAGAGGGGCGGCTTCGCGTGAGGCCTAAGCAGCAGCCTACCCGACGGTACCTATCCCACCGTAAGAATAGATAGGCAGGGCATTTGGGTCTTAGTTAGCCCCGCACCCGCTCCCCCAACTAGCGGAGTTGAAGGGGCAGCCGCAGCTGACATCGACCCGTACGAGCTGTCACAGGCCGTGTGGCAAGACTCGCCCTTGCATTCGCCGCGCGGCCACCGTCGCTTGACCTTGCCGCAGCCCAGGTCCTCTCAGACAGGCAGAGGAGGGGTTTAGGCTAGGGGTTGGTGCCTTTAGAGCGGGTGAAGTTGTAGAGGCTAGGTCTGTGAGCCCGGCGGCCTCTCGTTAGCAAAAAGAACTTCGTAGGGCCCATCTTGGGAGGCTCCGACGCGACACGACTGCCTAGCCTTTCGGCAGCCTAGACCTCAGCTTCTGCGGCCATGGGGGTGGTACGTGCGGTGCACCCGCAACAGGCCTCTACGCGATTCGCGGCCTGCCCTGCCCTGCCCTCCCTGCCCTGCCCCCTGCCCCTGTTCCTGTCCCTGCCCCTGCCCCTGCCCCTGCCCCTGCCCCTGCCCTGCCCTGCCCTGCCCCTGGGTGGGCGGGCGGGTGGGTGGGTGGGTGCCCCTGCCCCTGCCCCTGCCCCTGCCCCTGTCCCTGCCCCTGCCCCTGCCCCTGCCCCTGCCCCCTGCCTGCCCTCCCCGTCCCGCCCGGCCCTGCCCTGCCCTGCCCT